TCCCAGGCAGACCTTTGGGGTCTGAGGAGCGACAGGGCAGGCGTGGGGGCCCTCGGGCCTGGCCTTTAGAACCTGGGCCACTTGCCAGCTCTGCATCTTCACTCTTGGCTGGATCCCTCCCCCAGAGGAGATTACTTGACATGGGTGTGCTCAGCAGGCAGGCCCGGTGCTGCTGCTGAATGCCGCCGGTGCCCGCGCCACGGCTCGTCCTGGCCCACGGACCCACCGGGATGCAGGATGCCAACCCCGGCTTGTCCTTCCCTGTGCCCTTCCCCTGTGGCCGGGCTGAGCCTGTGCCTGAGTGAGAGCTCTCAGAAGGGGCCCGTGGGCCTCTGTGACCTGCTTTTCAAGGTTGTTTGGCTATTCTGGGATCTGTGCGTTGCCCTGTGAATTTTGGAATAATTTGATTATTTATGCAAAAACGACCATCCCCCCGGCTTTGGCTGGTGGCTCGGATGTCCTCGAAGCCCTCACTGAGCCACCTCCCCCGGCGTCGCGCCGAGCGTCTCAGCAGCGGGTGCGGCGTGCGCACCTGCCGTGCTGCCTCGGTCTGTCTCCAGGTGTCTCACATCACCTCACAGGAAGGACAGCTTCCGCTTCTCCGGAGGCCTCTGCGCTGTCATCTGATGCGTTTTACTGTGGTGTCGGCGTGAACCCCACAATTCGTTATTACTTTTGTTTAAATGGCTGCTTACCCCTTAAAAACATACAAATAACGAGAAATCATCCTCTGTGTTTACGATGGAATTCCCATTTTGGACGGGAGGGTTGCTGTCAGGGTGTCTGTGGGCCTCTGGTCACAGTGGCTCCCTTTTCTCTGGCTGCTCTCAGCTGTTCTCTTTGTGCCGTTTTTAAGCAATTGGATGAGGATCCTGTCGTTTAGTTTTCTTCATGCTTCTCGTGCTTTAGCTCATAGAGCTTCTTGGGTTTAGACTTTTCATCAAATTTTTAAAAAATAAGTCTTTATTGTTGAAAGTATTACATATGTCCCCCCATTGCCCTCTCCACCCCTCTCCCTTCATCAAATTTTATTCAATTAATTTTCTATCTCCCTCCCTGCTCTTCCTCAAGGAGCCCACTGACCTGAATCCAGGAGGCCTGAAAATTCCCACATCTTACTGATGTTTTATTTTTGTTGTTGATTGATTGATTTTCTGTCTTGTTTCTTGTTTTGGATAGTTTCCATTGATGTTTTTAAGTTCATAAGTCTTTTCTTTAATGTCAATCTGTAATCCCATCCAGCGCGCTTATCTCACACATTCAAGTCTCATCTCTAGAAATCTGATTTACTAATTCGCTATCCTATCTAATAAAAGAGAAACATGGTAATTAGCATACATCCACTACCCTTCCCATTGGCTAATCAGGGCGATATGCAAATTAACTGCCAGCCAAGATGGCGGCCGGCAGCCAGGCAGCTTGAAACTAACATGAGGCTTGCTTGCTTCAGTGATGGAGGAAACCAATGTTCCCCGCCTGCCTTGCCGGTCTCTGAGCTTGTAGTTTGAAACATTGTTACAAATATAGAAGCTAAACAAAACCCCAGAAACCTCCTTTCAGCAGCCAAGGCCTAAGAGCTGGAGCCAAGCCTCAGAGCTAAAGCTGGCCCAGAATAAATAACAAAAAGAGAGAACACAGGAGCAGT